TATAATTTTTTCTTCTTTTTCTAAAGGGAAAATAGAAAAAATGTTGAATATAGTAGCATTCACAATTCAATGTGGGCAGCAGTAGCTAGGAAAATAGAAATGGATAGATTTTCATGGCTTAGAAATTAGAAAATATTATGGGAGGTTTTACGGGTTAAAAGCTTATTTGGACATTTTAACTTGGGGATAGTAGCATAAATAGTCTCAAAACTTTGCATATACTGGTCCAAATCTTTCAAAAATGGCACAAATACCTTTCCATTTTAGGCGCAAACTGTCCTTTTGGATGGATTCCGTCCCAAAAAAAGATCGATAGTTTTGCATATGGACTACTTTCTTTTAAGGAAAACTTGCATATGCATTCTTGACTTTGACGAAAGTAACAATCGTTTTCCTAACTAATTTGGTCTTGTTTTTGTCCCCAACCTTAAAGACAAAGTTATCCTTATATATAAATAAAATATAAAAACGCATTTTTTCTTACAGTCAAACGAGTCTTGCCCCAACAATTTAGTCATGGATACATAGGGTTAACTCCTTTCAAATAAACTTATCTATATCTTCTATAGTTTTATTAAACTGAGCAAATGTGCATGATTAACTACGGATCGCGTTTATTTCTTTCCTTTTCTTAAAAAGCAACAAAAAGCAAAAAGAGTAGAATATTGAGCAAGGGGCATGTCTGTAGCTTGTGTTGGAAATCACATTTTTTCGACGTGTCATGTCGAACTTATAGAAGATCCTACCTAATCGTATAAGATGAGAAATATTTCAATGGAACAATCTTTATGCATATGTCGTAACACTGTCTATTCGAAATACAATACTTCAAACACTGAGTGGTGTTCCACCCATTACATTTTTCTCTTACAACACACCATTCAAAGTTTGGGATTAAAATAAACAAAATATAAGAACAACTTCAACGACCATCAAGTAATTAATCAAAACTTCAATGGCCTTTGGCGCAATTAAATCTATTTTGGATAGTATCCCAAAAAGCGTAAAGTATAAGTAGACGTGGAAGACAAATTTTACAAGTCTAAGCGAGCCTAGATGTTAAAAAAGCATTAGCTATTTTTATTGTTATTTTAAATACTTAGGGTATGTTTGATTGCAAATGTGGAAAAAAAATGTTTTGCTGGGAATTCAATTGCCTAGAAATTGTTTTACTGGGAATTGTAATTAATTTTGTTTGATTGGTATAATTTTCCCCCTGAAAAATGTTGAAAGTTTGGTATCCGTTTGACTTCATTTTTTATGGAAATTGTCCATTAAAGTGATAATTTTTCTACCATTGCATCTAGAATTTGTTTCAATTACCAAAAAGTAAAAAAATAAAAAAATAAATTTAAACAATTAGAAAAAATTACCATATTCGTTTGACTTTTTTTGCATAGAAATTGTCAACAAAAGTGAAAATTCTTTTTACAATAGTTGATAGAATTTATTGCCATT